AGGATTTCCTTGTAAGTTTGTAAATTTGTATTGTTCTCTTTGGGAGAGAGTGTTCTCAAGAATTTGGCATATAATTCTTTAGGGTTTGTAAGGTTACTCTTTGTCCTCAAAAGAAAGACAAATTAGTGAATTTGTGGAAAATCCTTAGTGTGGATAGCTAAGGTAGTGGACGTAGACTTTGGTTGAGAAAGTTGAACCACTCTAAATCGCAGTACAAATTTCTTTCAATTTTCTGTTAAAGCTTCCACCAAAATTTTAATTGTCAATTCACCCCCCTCTTGGCCATATTCGTCAATCGATTAACTCAACAGAAACGGTTCGAAATACTTTGTAAAATTATTTTGAAATTGTTTTAAGATTAAAACTTAATTTTACACTTGAGTAAGGATTAAAAATGACTTTTTAAAGATTTAAAGTAATGTTTTGATATTCGAATAATTATATCGAATATACTTAAAAAATCATTTGGAAAATCTTAAAATTCATTTAACTTAATTTTTTATATCAAAATATCAAAATGTTTTCAACAATCTCCCTCTTTTTGATATAACAAAACATTTTAGTAATTTTAAGATTTTGAAATAAAAAAAACGATGTTTTTGAAAAATTACTCACCCTTACTTTAACACTTCTCCCATTTAAAACATTTAACATTTCTCCCCTTTTTTGTTAAATCAAAAAAGACTCGTAAAAGATAATCATTTAGCCAATTGATTATATATAGTTTAAGCTGTCAAGATCACAATCAAGAGAAACGTTAGCCATTAGTTTCATAATCAATATTCATAATTAATGTGACATGGCAAAATTGGTCATATATCTAACATGATGTAAATGATGCAATAAATTTAACTAAACCAAATATATTAATTCAAACATCCAAACAAATCCAAAGTCTAACAATCCTCAAAATTTAAACATTCTAAGATATTCAAAATGTTGAGCTCGCATAGCGGTCATCTCATGTGAGAGTACATCAATACGTTCATTCATCGAAGCGTTGTTTGTGCGCATCTCTCGGAGAATTTCTAATTGTTGAGCTCCCATTGTGGATAAATGAGACTCTATAGAAGTAAAGTGCGAATCCATGGTAGCATATCGGAAATCGAATATCTCCATAAAGGATTGAAAATATGGAGGCATTTGATTCGTTTGTTGTGCTTGCTGCTCAGGATCATCTTCGGCCTCATCGATGTCTCGCATTAATTGTTCAAGCTCGGGATCGTCGTCAGCTTCTGGTGGAGCTCGTGAAGAACTAGCACCCGGAATATTTTCAGAAGATCGAACCCATTCACCGGTTTCCTTATCTTTTATCCATCCCGCTCTCTTTAAGGAAAGAATATTAATTTGTTTCTTTAGAGGAAATGAGGCATCTAGACCAACTCTAAGCCCGGCTTTAGAAAATAGATTACTCAAAATGCAACCGTAAACTAGAGATGAACAGAGTTTCTTGTTAGGAACAAGATTTACGGTTTCAACAATTTCAGCAAAAATAATCTGAGGTAGGTTTATTTTAATACTGTTTTCGAAACAGTGTTACCACCAAAGATCCAAGGCTCTAAGAGTAGAATAACAACCTCCGGATGGTCGAAAACACCAAGAAATCATTAGATGAAGAAAACGTTCATGAAGGTTTAAGACACTCGCACCATCCATTCTTTTATAACGAGAACCTAAAATTTGTTTTTCATTTGAAATACCATCGTTATCTAATCCTAATGCCTTGGCTATGTAAGCCGAGTCAATATGTAAGAATTGTCCTAGGAGGTAGGAATGAACTCCTATGGTTTCGGTTTGAGCTCGGTTTTTGACACAAACGGTATTAGAATAAAAGATGCGACCAAGTTGATGATAAACTATAGGTTCAAGGTCACAAAGTTTATCAAATTTCCACTCTTGTAAAAGAGGAAGATATTTAAAATTTATATCTAACATAGCTTGACGAGAAGGGATACGTTCTTCTCTAATTTTGTAAGAGTCAAAATATTGATAATACCAAAAACGATGATTTCTAGGACCAGGATGATTGAAGCATAAATTTTGGATAGTTATATTGGGATCAACTGGATTAGGATTAGGAATTGTAATTTCAGGAATAGGATGTGAATTTGGTTGACAGTGTGAGCGACTAGATGATGACCTAGGACGTTTAGGATTGGACATGGTTTAAGAAATCGGAATAGAATGGATAACATGCAATTTAGAAAACACATGTATGCAATTCAATCAATCCCAAAACTCAATTGAGTCTTCAATATTTCAAGGTTTTCAAAATCAATCCTAATTGACAAAGTATTTGAAAACTATTGAAAAATAAGATTTTGAAAAACAATATATGTATAGTTTTCATAACAACAACATAATTCAATTAAAACACAATAATTTGAAAAACAATTTTTTTTATTTCAAAAATTTCAAATTTTTTGGAAAATTCTTGTGTTTTTGATGAAATTAGTTGTAATATATAGTTTCTAATCACTAAACAATCAATGCCCGATCACTATTTCTATCTAGAACTAATTAAAACTAGTCTTATATTCAAAATCAATGAAATAGAGAGTTTAGAAAAATTTACCTTGAAAGATGAGATTGAGTGGATTTTGATGTTGTTTGCACTATTTTAATGATGCTAGCAAGTTTAGAAGATGATATTTGAAGAGAATTCCGATTAAAAACGTTGTTTTGAGGCAAAGTGGAGATTTGAGAGAGTAGAGGGGATAAACGGCGTGAAGAGAGGTTTTGAGCCAAAACCAAGGGTTCTGCCCGATAAAACCAGAACCCCATGGGGGTATCGATTCCCTCTGCACCAAAATGTTAAAATCCGATTTTAAACATACAAAATGCTAAATTAATTTTCTCTAGTGGTATTGGCAACTCATAATTGAAAATTAATCATGTTTAAACAATCAAATTAATCTTTAAACGATATTTGAACATAAAATTAATTTTTCATCAAGAATCATAAACTCCCCCTAACTAATAGTAATGAATGCAATCAAAAATTAGCATTTTTCATTTAGTCTTAAAAGTGCTAAAAATATTTTAAACACTAAGTGGAGATAGGTTGGTCAAACCTAATTCTCTCCTAAGTGTCCAAAATTTTCCTTGTCTAAAGGTTTTGTAAAGATATCCGCTAATTGGTGCAACGTATCAACAAATTCTAGAACTACATCTTCTTTAGTGACATGGTCTCTAATGAAGTGATGTCTTATTTTAATGTACTTAGTTCTAGAGTGTTGGATGAGATTTTTAGTGAGACAAATAGCACTAGTATTGTCACACTTGATAGGAATGGTACCAACTTCAATTCCATAATCAAAAAGTTGTTGTTTCATCCATAAAATTTGTGCACAACAACTACCAGCTGAAATGTATTCGGCTTCAGTGGTAGATAATGCAACACAATTTTGTTTCTTTGAAAACTAAGAAATCAACATATTTCCAAGGAAGCTTTTCCTATCTCTAAGTGTAAAATTCAAATATTTCGACCATTGAACAGTAGGGGGAATCGGTTCCCTCTGAGCATACTGGAATTCTCAGAGCCAAACCATTCAGGGGGGAATTGGTACCCCTTGGGGGGGGAATCGGTTCCCTCTGAGCAATCTGGAATTTTTGGCTTTGAAACGGTTCGAAATACTTTGTAAAATTATTATGAAATTGTTTTAAGATTAAAACTTAATTTTACACTTGAGTAAGGATTAAAAATGACTTTTGAAAGATTTAGAGTAATGTTTTGATATTCGAATAATTATATCGAATATACTTAAAAAAAATCATTTGGAATCTTAAAATTCATTTAACTTAATTTGTTATATCGAAATATCAAAAATGTTTTCAACAAGTTCTATCTTACAGTGACCTTCACATCTACCTATGTGACTGAACGCAACCTTTGCTAAATACGGCCAGACACGGGTAGATATCGCTAACTTAAGGTTCATAATAAAATGATCTAATATACGTTCTCTCTCCTAAAATATAAATAATTACAAAAATTAATTTTTAAACTAATAATCATGCATTAAATAAATTATTACTAATAAATTAAAATGTTACCGTATCAGCAAATTGTCGAGATATATGATTTCCATTCAAGAGAAGTAAATCGCCTTCCATTTTATATCTACAAAAAAAAAATTAAATAAAATATTAAAAATTTAAATAGTTAAATAAATTACTAACAAAATACTAAATATAATAAAATATACCTTAAACAATTATAAGAGTATTTGAGAAGATTTGGTGTGATGAAAGTGATTGAGAATGGAGGTATTTATAGGAAGGAGATGAGGTGTGAACGGTCAGGGTAGTTGGGTAATTAAACCTAAGGGGCTACAGGGGTGCGCCTTTCTGACGCGTGTCAGAATTAAAGCAAAGGTGTGGCCCTTGCACAGCGCTATAGTCCTACGTGGCGTAAGGCGTGCTCCAGGGGCCGTGTATCTAACTCAGCATAAGGTGCGCTGCAGGGGACGCGCTTTGCCTCACGTGACAAAGAGTGTTAAATCAAAAAATATAATCTAAACTGTGTCTGACAGAAGAAAAAAAAATGGGTATAGGGTGATTTTTTTTTTTGGGAAAATCGAAGTGACAGTCTTGAGGGTTTTGTTCTATGTCATTCAATTGCTGGAGGGACAGGCTCAGGTTTCCAAAGTCAGTACCCCGGTAGTAGTAGTGTCTTCAACTAAAATACGGAAGTTTTGTTGAAGACTTTGATTTGGTTACAACTTGACTGCTCTCATCTACAATGAAGGTATGGGTTCCTATCTGTTGGAGGCTCTGAATGACCGCTACAGCAAGAAGCTGGTCCAGACAGATAGTGTATTCCTAACCAGACAAGTGATGTGGTTGTCCAACCCTACAACTAACTTTGACACTCAAGCGACTAACATTAAATGCTGATTGTGTTGTTGTTCTTGACAATACTGCATCAATAGAATTGCAGTAGAGCGTTTACATATAAGTAATCCTACATTTGCTCAAACAAATCTTTGGATTCCACTGTGATGTCTGCAAGCACAACTACATTGCGGTATCCAGGGTACATGAACAACGATCTGGTCGGTCTTCTTGCCTCTTTAATTCCAACACCGAGATGTCATTTTCTTATGACAGGTTACACACCACTTACAGTGGAGCGCCAGGTAAATCAAATACTCTTGTTGTTTGTGCTTATAGCTGTGTCATTGATGCAGTTTCTGATCAATGCTCCTTGCAGTTATTTTAAGAGTTACATAGAGCCTTTATACAATCATGTCTATAATTGCATTGGTTTGCTTCCTCTTCTGTAATGTTTGGGGTGAAAAAAAAGAGCTGTATCTTTCTAATTTCTTATTTCTATTTTTATTAACTTAATCATCTCAGGATACAATATCAGTCACAAATTAATGTTTTTAGTCTTGTTATTCCTGCAAAGAATTATTCAATATGTCTGATGCCTGCGTTTCTCTTCTTGGCAGGCCAATGTGATCCGCAAAACTACCGTGCTTGATGTTATGAGAAGACTTCTCCAGGTGAGATATGTAGCTTGTACTTGTTTCAAAACAGGTTGCATTTTTCTGACCATATGATTCCTTGCAGATAAAAAATATTATGGTTTCCTCTTATGCACGCACAAAAGAAGCTAGTCAAGCAAAGTATATCTCAATACTGAATATCATTCAGGGAGAAGTAGATCCTAGTCAGGTATCATAAATAACTAAATTCTTTTTTATTGGAAATGCTATAGCTTTTACAGGAAATATATCTCTTAAGTCTGATATTAAAATTTTGTATAAGAAAATTATACACTTCATTCTTTATTCTTAAGAAGTGCTAATGTTAAAATTTTGAATCATTAATGTTGATCAGATTGCTTGTTAGTTGTTAATGGTTATGTTTTTGAAAATCAACATAAAGTCGTGCCTACCACCTCTTTTTTATGTGTCATCTATTCTTAATGGTTTGAGCTTCTAATGTTTGTTAAATAATTTCCCATGATTTACAGGTGCATGAAGTCTACAGAGGATTCGTGAAAGAAAGCTAGTAAATTTTATTGAATGGGGCCCAGCAAGTATTCAGGTTTCTAGACAGTTGAAGCAGTTGTCATCACTTTGCGCCATTCTTTTTTCTTATGATTTCTGGACTTACGTGATCCGTTTGTTATTTTGGTGTTTCTGTAGGTTGCTCTTTCTAGAAAGTCCCCATATGTCCATACTGCCCACAGGGTACAGCTCTAGCTCTCGTCATTTAGAATTTAGATATCTTGTTTTGCCTGCATTATAGAATAACTCACAATATTTTGGTCTGAATTTAATGGTAACAACTTTGAGCTTGATTTTGATATCTCCTTAAAGACGGCCCTTTTGTTGAAGAAATCATCAAGAAAGAATAAACAATGGCATTTGTATTCTTCAGGTAAGTGGCCTCATGCTAGCAAGTCATACTAGCATCCGACACCTCTTCAGCAAATGTTTGAGCCAGTATGGGAAGTTGAGAAAGAAGCAAGCATTTCTTGACAATTATCGCAAGTTTCCAATGTTCGCGGTGAGTTACCAACTTTTCACCCACTTTCTAATTCATAACTGCTGTCACTATGCTTTTTGTGTGCGTTTATATGAACTTGGTATGCAAACATCTGCATGCATGAGTTGTATACATATACGTGTAAGTTGCAACATGTCTATTTACAGGCAACTAAATGTATTTGTAAACCTGCACAGAGAACACATGTTTACTTCTATAGGAAATGAAGAAATAATTAGTGCAATTTGTTTGTTAATTTTGTTACATATGATTAGCTTCCAAAGTTGTATACTATTTTTCAATTGGATAAAAAAGCGATTACATTATGTTGATATTTTTATTCTAATCTTGAACAACACAAACAGGACAATGATCTTTCTGAATTTGATGAATCGAGGGATATAATTGAAAGTTTGGTTGATGAATACAAGGCTTGCGAGTCACCGGATTATATCAAATGGGGAGTGGAGGTATATGCCTTGCTGGCACCAACTTCAATCTTTTAGCACCTTTTGGCTGTAACTGATAACAATGTTATATGCAGGATCCTGGGCATAGTTTAACTGGAGAAGGAAATGTCTCGGGAACACTGGATCCAAATTTGGCTGTGTAAATGAAATAAGTAAAGCCTCAATTATGTAGTCTTCTCAGGTATGGATCTGTTAAGGTTGATTCGTTGCTGGCAAAAGTTCTACTATCATGTTCTTTAACACTATGTTATTGCATGTGGTGGAGTTAGTGAGACATGAAAACATGCAAGTTGATTTAGAATCTGCCGTCAGTTGATATTCCCTGGGTTTTGATGTGGTTTGAAATGAAAATTGAAGATAAAACCACTCCTTTTTCTTTGTTCATATTAATTTGATATTCCCTAGGCAATTGGCATATACATTGTCTTTTAGTAGATGCCTGTAACTTAGCCCGGATTTTTTTTTTGTTACAGGATACCACATAAATATTAGGTCTACTCTGGAGAGAGTATTGTAAATTTTTCTTTTTAATAACCATATGTATTTTAGTATTTGAGTTGTTTTCGTAGTAGCAAAGCCGTGGAACCGCAGCTCTGAAACCTTGTCTGAGGTTAAGTCAAATGGAAGCACTTAACTAACTAGGAAGGACAAGGGGAAAGTCTTGTGTTGTTTTTGTAGTTGACAGAAGAAAATAAACAGTGGTTTCTGTTTTTTGGATTATAGCATCATTGTTTGTAATTTGAGTTGTTTCCATAGGATTTGTTGAGTGCTGTCCGGCTGTGGTTAAGAAATAAACAGTGGTTTCTGTTTTTGGATTATAGCATCATGGTTTGTAATTTGAGTTGTTTTCCATAGGATTTGTAAAGTGCTGTCCGGCTGTGGTTAAAGTTTTATCCTAACAGATCAGTTTACAGAATGGAGCTAAGGAAGATTAGATTTTGCAAGCATTTTAAAATGGTTTTGAGTGGGAATATCATTCTAATTTAAAGAAAAAAGAAAAAAAGTTGTAGTCCTTTCAATGTGCATGGAATCAACATAGCATGGTCTGGTCCCGTACCATTTCATATATAATTTAAATCTGCTTTTGTACCTTTTTTTTAACTTAACCACCCACGCTTGCATTTGTTTAATTGTTTTTTCGAATTTCTCAAAACTCCCAAAGTAAAGCAGTAACCAGAAGGATAAAGACAACTAGTTTTAGATATAGAGTAAACTACATTCTAGGTCACTCAATTATTAGTTTCTATCAATTTAGTCTTTGTTCTCCTAAATTGTTTGTTCTTCTTCCATAAATGTTATATTACTTTCATGTTGCTTAGAATTGCTTGCTATCTTATATAGTGTTGATTTTACCAATGGGGGCATTGTGTTTATTGTTTTGCGTGAGACACCAGGTAGGGGAGTTGACAAAATCTTTCCTATGAAATCTGTTTTTCGTTGTACACTTATTAAGTGCTGGTTGTAGCAGTCTTCAACCAATCTCATCTTCGGATCATAAGTTTTGTTACATGTGTACTTTTAAGGCTGCAAGCCGAGCTTGCTCAATCATATAATTGGCTAATATTTATTTATGGTTCTCATTAAAGTGTTATTTTTATGGTAGAATGCAGATATCCAATTGTTGCTTTGATCTGATTGACTTGTTTGGTTTGATAGTATCACGGCTTTTAGGAATTAAAACTGTTACCATACCAAAGCACATTAGATTTTTGTTTCATTTAACTGCAGAGTGACTTATTTGTAATAATTTTTAATTGACTGATACTTTTAGGGAAAAATGACAAGTTGTAATTGAAATAATAATTGAGTGACCTATAATGTAGTTTATACATATATTTACAGTATGTATGGAGATTTTCTGTAGCGACGGCTACTAATGTCAAATAATGTTAAAATCTTGACAGCTGGAGGGTGGGTATCCAAGGCCAATGGGTGATTAGTTTTGTATCCTACGTCAAGGTTAGAATATTTTAAAGTTAATATTTTTTAATAGTTTATAAGGTAATATAATTAATTAACAGTGCACATACACGGTAGATGTAATTACTCGAATTCAAACGCTCTAACGAAAATAATATTTCTTTTATTACTAAGATTACTGTATGAGATCTTTTTTAAAGCTAAAATTAAGCTAACACGAATTTTATTAATTAAATAATATTTGTCTATCGTACTTTCAATATATTTTCTAATCAATCCTAATAAGTTTACTATGTTTAGTACCAAACAATAAGTAATATTAATGGATATCATCGAAAGTTACAATAAAAGGGAATATTGTGCAATGACAATGAAGAAGAAGAAGAAAAGATGAGAATGCATGCTTTCTTAAATTGATTTGTAAATACAATAATTAGAACTTTTTATTTAAAAAGTTATATAAAGTTTTGGTCATCATCCAAAATTTTAGGGTGTAAGACCAAGAATAGTCTAGGGGTCAATGTAGAAGGAATCCACAAGTTGAAGGGCCAAACATATAACTAAGCCGAAGGAAAACCCTGAGCCGCACTCCCCTAGTTTCCTCCATTTTTACTGCTTACAAATTACATATTACCTGAACTTAATCAATTCCCCTCTGATATAATCTCAACGTCATTATTTAAACCCAGTTTTCCTCTCCAGAATTTGTCTACTTCAAAACTTTCACTTTTCTCCGAGCTTGTCTTCGACCTTGAGTTTTTTCTTCAGCGCTCTCATATTATTGTCCACGCTGATAACAGTGCTAAAAACATGGAAGCCAATTCTTTCAGGGTTCTTACGAGTGTTGCTCTTGTTCTCGACATTGTCTCGCGCAATGTTGAAGCTCAGTCTGCTGCACCAGCTCCTCCTCCTACAAGTGACGGTAACTAATCTTCTTTTATACAAGCTGTTTCTGGGTCTTTTGAAAAATGATGTAATCTTCAAAATCTATAGTAGTGTTGGAAAATGCGTTCTATTGAGGCGTTGCCAAAAATTTGTAGACTAACGTTTCTTTTCACCTGTAACGTTGATTCTAATTTCCTTAAAGAACATTTGTTTTCATTGTTTTTCTCAGAGCTAAAATACAAAAGCTTTTTTTCTTTTTTTGATTTGATATTTTGAAGGAACTTCAATTGACCAAGGGATTGCCAACATTCTGATGCTTGTGGCACTGGTGCTCACATACCTCATCCACCCTCTGGACGCATCCTCCTACGCCTTTTAAATTATTATATTGTTCATTTAGATCATGAATTGCTATGTGGATTGCATTTGTTTTTGTTTAAATTATTATATTGTTCATTTAGGTCGCAAATTGCCATGCGGATTGCATTTGTTTTCGAGAGATTGATTGCTCAATATGGTTGGCCTATCTTTTACCTATTTACTAAATCTTTTGTTTCTTCTACTTCTTGATTCTTTGCTTCCAATATTACTTTTTAGAATCCTTTGTATCTGTTTGCCTCTTAGACTTCGCTTAGTATTTGATTTTTACCTGGCTATGATACCATGTTGGTTTAGAGTCTATTCTTTTAACCATGAATAGTGCAGTATTTTTCATTAACCACAAGTCAATAACATTTATACAAACTCATGCAACGTCCTGACCTACTAGCTTTTGACAGTTGGTCAACAATTTAACAAACAATAGAATAATTTTAGAATCACACAAACATAAACAACACTCAAGCGTCCTCACAATCATTCATACTCCAATAGTATTAAAGACAGAAATTTGTTAATCAAATGATTAAAATTTAAAGAATAGGATAAGATACAACTTTGAATGCAATTTGAGCTTTCCACTAGGTTGATGACTCCAGCTAATGTCTTTCATACACACCTTTAGTCGGCACGCATGAATGTTGATTTGTGCCAACCCGTTTCGAGGTTCTTTCAGTTAAAACACATACTTGTTACAGACCAAGATCCAATGGACTATTAATCCTTAAACATGACTAATAAAATCCAATGAGCTGAGCTGCCACTGAATTGCAAGACCATGAAACTCTCTTGTTAATTTTGGCCATGATTTTTATGTACGGTGGTTTGACTCTTTATAGAAGCCGAAGGACCTAGAAAACGGGATTAAAGTACAACAGATGTCATTGAATTATATTAAAAGGATCGTTTTGATGATTAAATTTTCAAAAATTATAAATGGTCATTATACTTATCCAATTGTTTTAAAATGGTCACTACAATATTATAATTAATTATAGAAGTTTTATAAATTTGATGGCCATTTTTATAAAAAAAAATTAATAAAATTTAATAATCATTCTATAATTGTTTAAAAATTATTAGTATTTTATAACTTTTAAAAGTTTAATAATCAAATCATAAAAGTCACTACACCTTAGACTCCATTGGTCACCCATCAAAATTTACGAAGCTTGAATGAATAAAGTTATATTTGTATTTTTTAAGGTGTTTATGTTTGGTTCAATTTCATTTAAATTTTTAATATTGTGTTCGTGTTCATTCATTTAACATATGCAAACATGTTCGTTTAATGTTTGTCAACCAACACTCCAATTTTATCCTTTATTTGCAAATCAAAGAAAAATGGTGAAATTGTGCCACTAGTCTTTAAGTTCCTTAGGCTTTACAATTTGAACTCCGAAATTTACCTTTTGCTCAATTTAGTCCTTATCTTCTCCAATATTTAAAATGTAAAAAAGGAAAAGGAAAAGGAGATCCGAGTAAACAAGCTTATAAACAAGTCGATAAAATACCTAATAGAAAAGCTTGTTCGTGAACATAAACGAACCGAACACACCTCTGTTTGTGTTCGTGCGTATATTAAATGAAAATAAAAAAATTTGTTCGTACTCGTTTATTTAGCACAATAAATGAACATAAACGAACAGTTCATTGAACGCTCTATTCATTTATGCCCCTAATCAAAATTAATGGAAAACAAAATATCATTTAAAAAGCAAAATTATGGTTTGGGCCAAAAGAAGAAAAAAATATGAGATGAGTACTTGGAAGGAGGAAAACTTGAATGCAATGTGGGTCCATTGGCCTAAACATGGGTTCACGATCAATATCAATACACTCGAGTTCCCTTAACCTTCAATTTTCAATTTCATTTTTTTGTTTGAATTTAGTGCATGAACCCTTATTTCTATCTATGAACTAATATCTTCTATCGGCAACGGCAATCTATTAGTTAGTTTTATAGTATGAAATAATATTTAAAATTATTTGATATTATTAAACCAAAAATATTATTTAATATTAAACCCAATTTAACTGGTAAATAAGAATACCAATTATACACTGTTTTGTCTTCAAAACATATACATTAAAGACAAGGGCATCAAGTTATTACGGATCTGAATTCTGACGACCGGTGCTGCTGCAAGTGCTACGGTCGTCGCAGGAAACATAGACAGACAATATCAGAGGTAGGTTAGCTGAAGCCGACAAAAAGCTACAACTTGTTGTTCTAGGCAATGACCAAACCCCTTTTTTCCCCTCTTCTTTTCTGCATCCTCTTTATTATTTGCAAGTTGCAAGCCACCATATCCACTACATATGCTCATTAACACTTCAAAATCTATACTAAAGAGCGCTTAGCATGGGTGATAATT